TCATTATCTTACACACACTGTCTTCGTTTAATCAGACATTTTAATACAAGACAATAAAAAATACGTCAACATTTTAACACTACCATTTAAACAAATCTTGAAATCTATCAATGATGTGGTTGCCCTAGAACAAGAACCAATTATTCATTGAATTAATTTATTATATGTTGGTTCTTAAATTGTTAACTGATAGTTGCTAATTTCTACATCATATGGTTTCTAGTGGAGTTGACTCATTTGGAATCATACCACATCTTTTTATACGACCGCAAAACATTTTTGCGGTCATTTATTGGTATCACGTCGTTGTCCGAAGACCCTTGGTTTCCGGACAATAACTTTAGTATTAGTTAATAGAAATCTATGAAATTTAAACACAAGGTTTATAACCACAAAAGGAAGGTTGGGATTGATTTTGGGGGTTATGGTCCTAACAGTTTAGAAATTAGGGGCCAAAAAAGGGGCCCAAAGAAGCATTTTTCTAGTTTTCAGGCAATAACTCGTGGAACGGTGTATGGATCTCTCTGAAATTGTACAACAAGTTTCCGTACCACAAAGGGATGGTTAGAATTGGCTTTGGGGGGTAATGGCTCAAACCGTTTAGGAATTAGGGGCAAAAAAGGGGGAAAAACAAGGGTTTCCTTGTTAATGGACAATCACTTTCAAGTACAATGTTAAATTTGGATTACCTGCCTTACACTGCTTTAAAATTATGTAGAAAGAAATTTTGTATTGCCTTGAGGTGATTAGCTGTCAATTTATTTTTAGAAGTTACTAATAAAAATGCTGATTAAAGATATATTATTTTTAGACATGATTATGTATGTCATTTTCTATTTTAAGACTTTTATGATGTATTTAAATATGGGTAATTATGGTTGCAAACTCCATTGGAAATTTGAATTGAGATAATGACTATATCTTGAGAAGATTTTTTTTTTGGAAAAAGGGGAGGGGGAGGTGAAAAAAATATGGGGCGGGGGGGGGGGGGGGGGGGGTTAAAAAGAAATTGGGATTACAGATTTCAGAAATTAAAAAGAAAATTTCTTCAAATATTTTTTTTTTTGTAAAAAAAAAAGGGGTGGGGTGAAAAAAAAATTAAAAAAGCAATTTATTATTTTTAAATTGAAAAATTAGTCTGGGATATTTTGATTGCTATTTGAAAATAGGGACACGCTTGGGGTTTGACTTGACAAAGACCACACACGGACCCATCTGAAGATGAGTTACGTTATTCAATGTTCTGAGAGTGTGATACTTTTCTATTTAAGGTCGTCATATTTTAAGTCTCTATTCTATTGAAGTGACTATATAAACATCGTAGCCAACAGGACGCATAACGCCTCCTTTTCCCTTCATCAAGGGTCTTACTATCTGATGGCAGAAGTCCAGGTAGCCATCTACCGAAAATGTGCTATGTTAAATGATACACCACTGCTTGCCGACGGCTTTCATTGAATTTGATTCAATAAACTTAAGAATAGCTTCGTCTCTCTGGTGTGGGCTTACTATGGGTCTTACATTTTCTGATTAAATCTCATAGTTAACACGATTCGCAATAACGGCAAAATGTTTCTTCTAGTCTTAAGTATGTGTACAAATTCACCAGAATTAATAATAACAGGTATTTCAAATCACTGCAATATGCCCCATCTGTCATTTTGTCATGCGTTTTAAAGTAGTACTTTAACTTTCAACAGCTAGAACAGTTTAATGCTTTATGTATCTTCAGTGTATCTACACATTAGAGAATATCAAGCTACTTGTAAATGAACTTTTCGTAAAAATGTTTTTTGTGTAATTTTTGTGTGTGTAAACATTTAGTAGACAACAACTAAAATTAAATGTCCGTTCGTTTTTTCGTGTATACATGCAAATTTTCTCTAAAAAAAGCAAACACATTTTCACCTTTATGCTTATTAGTCCCCTACCGACAAAGTCGAAGGGGACTTTAGGTTTGTACTCTGTCCGTCTGTCTGTCCGTCCGTCTGTCTGTCCATCCGTCAGTCCGGCAAATCAGTTTTCCACACTTTTTTCTTCGTTCTTGAAGATATTGATTTGATATTTGGTATATAGTTTTGCCATGACAAGTTATAGATCAAGTTCGAATTTTGTTCCGGTCTGATGATTTAGTCCAGAGTTATGGACCATAACTCTGGACCATATCTAATGTTAAGAGTACTATGTTAAACCATATTTCTGTACAAAGGGAGATAACTCATTTTTTTAAAGACATTCTTCGGTAAATTATTTGAAGAATTTTTTGGCAGGTTTGTTTGTTATTTTGTATAAACTAATTTTCTGAATGCTGCTATATATATATATATATATATATATATAAAACGTCTGAATAATAGTCAACGATTTTTCCCACGAGGGCGCTGGATCGTTACGAGTAATATATATATATATATATATATATAAAATATGATGTGAAATCCTTTAATTAGATGATATTAATAATCTATTTTTATTAATGTATATATTACATTACATTGTGTAGATAAAAATTGTTGACATTTTATAGATAAGTTACAAATCTATATTAGTTTGTGACAAATAAAAGAAAAAATATTTGGAACTATTAATTATATTTAATTATAATTTGAAAATAGATATATACACTGTATTACATCATATCTAATTTTAGAGAACTATTAATCATTTCTAATGTTAAAGTTTTTTCCACACTTTTTTTCATCATGCTTGAAGATATTGATTGATAATTGGTATATAGTTTTATCATGACAAGTTATACAGATCAAGTACGAACTTTTGTTTCGGTCTCATAACTTTGTGCAGAGTTATGGTCCTTGGACTTGAAAAATTCACTCATTTAATCAGTTTTCCACACTGTTTTTAGTCATGCTTGAAGATATTGACTTGATATTTTCTTTTTGTTTACACCATGACAAGTTATAGAACAAGTTAACTATTTGTTCCAGTATAATGAATTTTTACCCGATAGGGGACTATGTATTGCCATGCAATACTCTCAGAATGCTTGTTTTTGTGTACTTCTCTGGGATAAAGATTAATGCATATATGCATATTTACTGAAATAAACTTCCGAGACCCATCGACCAATACTTCATCATTGTGGTTAGCGGGCTGCCAAGCTGACCAAACTGGCCATGAAAGCAGCCGTTGTGAAGGAAGTAGACTGCAACCAAACAACAATAGTAAAAAACCAAATCAATCCAGCAACACCAAAATGGCCGACTTGTTCCAGCTTGACAACAACAAAAACATTTAAATGCTCACCAAACGCCTTCGGGCACAGAGCCGACCGTGCGAGGGCTGTAAAGCCAGTCAAGGTCGTTAAACACTTCCATCATCATCATCATCATCGTGAATTAAATAAGTTAATTCGTAAAAGGCGTGCTATATATATATAACTTATCGGAAGTAAAAGATGGTCCAGTAACATTTACAGGAAGCAATTGTGATTCCAATACTTTATAGTTTCACATTTCAATTGTTTTACAGAAGATTTGAGACATCGGTAACAAAAAAATACTTGATATTTGGTCTCTTTTTCTCATTATTTGTAGAATTATTAACTTTAATATTATATATAAATTTTGAAATAAAATAATTTGATTGTTAGCGTCGAAAAACTAAAAAATATTCTGACTCGGACAAAAAACCATAACCCCCCTCTTTGAAGTTAAATAGTTGCACCCTTATCATATTTATATTCACTTTTTATTTGTGAAAACCAGAAATTGAAAAAAAATCACCCGTGACAACTGGCGGCGAATCTCAATGATTCATACCTAAAGTAAATAAAATTGGGAAACAAGTCAGACTTCATATATCAAAATATTAAGAGGAAAATTTGAAAGAAAATGCAGCAACAGTCAACCCTAAAAAAATACACCAAGAAGTCTTAGAAATTGGTAAATGTCATCACATGTTCTATGGAATTAGGAACATGTAAACATATCAAGTTCGGTAATCCACCAACTAAATGCAATATGTGTGGTACAGATGACGATGATAATACAAATGTAATATATTTCTTGGCCGTTTGGCCTCCAATAGGAGCAACTTAAGAGAAGTATTTTAACAGACCTGAGAATTCAATAAACTATTGCAAGAGAGAAGGAACATGGAAATATTTAACAACTACTCCAATATATCGTAGCATCTATTAAAAGATTGCCGATACTTTAGGTGTAGAACAATTAACAAGAAATCCTTGCTACAACTTACATAGTACATGATTGAAAATACAGGAGCAAAGGAGCAAATTAGTCAGCGTGTACTTATTCTCCGCTTGACACCAATTTTGATATGATTCTCCGATGATGCTAAATTTTCATCCAATGACTTTTCTATAAGAAAATGATTCACTAAGTTGAGAATTAGTGACCATAATTTAGAAATAGTAAATGGTCGCTATTATAAAATTCCTAGAAAGGATAAACTATGTAAACTGTGCCACTTGCTGGAGGATGAAAAACACTTCCTCCTTGAATGTAAAATTTACAAAAAACTAAGGGATAATCTATTTGAAAATTGTTTACCTTCTCATAATTTTATGTCTCTTACCCAAGAACAAAAGGTAAAAGAAATGCTAAACACTTCTATCATGGAACATGTTAAAAATATTAGCTCCTTTATAAAACAGTCATAATAGAACTGAGGGCAGAAGTCTGATAATTTTTTCCATGTGTTAATTTCTTATAGAATTGTTTTTTCTTTGCTATATTATGTTTGTTTTTGTTTTTTGGTTTTTGTCACAAACTAATTATGTTTATATGACAATAAAGGGATACATTATTGTGTGGATAACCTTAATTCGGCACAACAATAAGTTTTAAATGTTAGTAGTAAATATCATTATGAAAAATCATTAACTTTAAAAGTTGTTATAACAATTCTAATATGGTTCAAACAAGGATTTGTAGTTTTAGTTTAAACATATTTTATTTGCTCAAAGCAAAAAAGGATCAGACACAAGTAAAACATACTTATAAAGTCTTCTCCACACTGTAAATATACCTGACGCCTGACGCGTCCGGACGCGTTCAAAATTTGTACACCGAATGTTCAATATTTTAACGTCATATGTTCATGCTTAGAGACGTGTTCAAAGTTTTAACGTTTGTGTTAAAAATATTAACATGTGTGTTCAGACGCAGTGAACACCGGTGTTCAAATTCTGATCTAAAAAAGAAGATAGTCGTTTGTCCGATTTTCTATCCTTCCAATTGGCAAATTCAAAAAGAAATTCTTTAAAAAATATGAATGTATACGCAGGATGATGATCTTGTGAATTTTTGGCTAATATTTTAGTAATTGTGAAATATTAAACTTCCAAGCTGGCATATATGTATAGTTTATGAATTTATTTTATTGTTTATTTATATATACTAGTTTTACTTATAAGTGACATAATTATGCATATCAATGAGGCCTGTTATGATAATATCGTAATAAAAATATGTCGATGTTTATCTTATTTCATGATCCGTTCATTTTATTAACATTACATGTTCAATCAGTGTTCAAATCGCTCGAAATTTTGAACACCTCGTGTTAAAAAAAAATATACCAGGATACCAAATACCGGAAACAGATATCGGCTGGCGATTTAGGCGGTTAAACGAAGAATGGATACACATAAGAAAGAGAACTGGAGAAGGGACTTCTATCCCATATGAACACGAAAGAAGTAAGTAACAAGTTAGAATAATCTCCATAGGTAGTTCGATGGCTTCCTTGTTATTTTCTCATGCCAGATATATATTTGTCAAATATTCATAACTGTTATATCCAAATTTTCAATATTCAACATAAAAGACGAATTAAAAAACGGGCTTTAGATATAAACGTAAATAACTGTAAGCTTTGTTCTGATGATTTCCTAAACTGATGAATAAACAGTCTGTCTGTTATACAGAATAAATGATCATTTTCGACATCCACATACATTAGCTGAACACTAAGTGTTAAGAACTCTAACATCAAGTGTTAAAAAATGAAACACAAAGGCATTAAAAACTGAACACCACACATTCAATTGATGAACACTAAGTGTTAAGAACTCTAACATCAAGTGTTCAAAAATGAAACACAAAGGCTTTAAAAACTGAACACCACACATTCAATTGATGAACACTAAGTGTTAAGAACTCTAACATCAAGTGTTCAAAAATGAAACACAAAGGCATTAAAAACTGAACACCACACATGCAATTGATGAACACTAGTGCAAACATTTGGAACACCATTTTTGAATTAGAAAATGCATTTGTTTTTTTTATTTGCAGGAATCGTTAGATTAAAATGTTTGAATTAGGAACCGGTAGCCAATAATCCCAAAAAGGTCATTTCTGCATGCTACAAAGTGGTGGAAAAAAGAAAGATGTCGAAAAAAGGTATGACAATATATGTATATTAATAGCTTATGTGGGTGTATCATTTCTATCTGTTCACCTTAGGTCAAGAAATCGACTTTTGTAATTTATAATGTCAAAACTTGCATTTCATTGCTATAGAATATCAATTTGTACACTAGTATATATCGACATTAAAGCATAACAAGCAGTGCATAATTTGATGCTTTATGAAAAACTCTGTTCTATTAATTTTTAATTTTATTTTGCAGGATATATAGGCTCATAGACATTCCTTGTTGTGGAGGATTTTGACATTGGAAGTTGATAACAACACATATATGCCACCCAGTTGATAGCTTTAAGTGAAGATGCACTGAAAAGTGGAGCGTACATTGTATGTGATCGTACAAGAACTGTTGGAATTTGCAAACTTTTAAACTTTCATTGTGACAAATACCTATATCATAAACTATCTAATTATCACATTGACATGCTTTTTTGGTTAGGATACAAATGATGTTGCAACTATCTAGTCATGTAGGGGGAAATCATTATTTGTGATATATATTTAAGTCAGTTTAAAAACATTATGTATGTGATTTCACTGACTGTTACTTGTGATATCAAAAGGTATCTGGTGTACTTTTCTTACATATAATATGCTCATTTGATTACATAAAGAATTACTTGTTAAAATATGTTTTATTGTTATATTTTGCCTGATTGAATATAGTTTTTATAACAGTTTATTTAAGTTGAGTACTTATGGAAAATTATGTACGCTTGAAAATAGAACATGTTCCACATTTGAACACCATCACTTTGAACACTTATGTCAACTGTTCTGAAAGTTAACGTCTGGTGTTCTGAATCTTAACCCTTTGGCTTTAAATATGTTCTGTGTGTTCAAAAAGTGTTACATGGCTGTTGAACGCGTCGACGTATCAATATTTTGAACATTCGGACACGTTAAATCGTTGTACACTAAGTGTTAAGAACTCTAACATCAAGTGTTCAAAAATGAAACACAAAGGCATTAAAAACTGAACACCACACATTCAATTGATGAACACAACTGTAAACATTTGGAACACCATTACACGTTCAAAAAGTGTTACAAAAAAGCGTTCAAGCAGTGTTCTATTTATTAACACTTAGATTTACAGTGCACAATACAATATATATAACAATACAAATTGAACATGAGCATGCATCATATAATATAAACAACATAAATATTACTAAACTATACTAAAAAAAGGAGAGGGAATGAGGAAAGAACGACAGAGATTAGGATGATGATGATAATGATGATGATGTGTGTTTTACCTATACTGATACTATACTACGAGGAATCGTTTTGATCTCTTTATAAAATTGAATACTTGTTTAACAATTTGCACATTTTGATCATAGGAAAAAGTTTAAAGGATTTGTATAGTAAGAATCTGGCAATACAAGCAATTTAAATAACGGCGGTTACTTCACTTTATATGGGAAGTAATTGTAATTGTAATGTTTACATTTAACAGCTGAGTAAAACTTCCGGTTATTTTACCTTGTATGATATTAGGTTTGTCATTCAATAATTCGTCATGATTTCAAAACGAAACTAAAACATGGGAGATACATACGATTATTTGTTCAAAATAATTTTAGTTGGGGACCCAGCCGTCGGGAAAACCAGCCTTGTTAGACGGTTCACTACGGGAAAATTTCAGCAGGAATACAAGACGACCATTGGTGTAGATTTTACTGTACAAACGTTGCAACTTGATGGTAAAATTGTAAAGGTAATTCTAAATGTGGTTATATCTAGCATGTTAAGAGTTAGTTTAGGAAACCATTTGTCTCAGTTATTATGACGTATGCTGTATAATTAGAAGAGAAATTCTAACAGTCAATTAGGTTAGTACTGAGTATGGGGGTTCAGAACATCCATTTATTCATGGCCACGTCATACTTACGGTACGGTGTATGTCGTTACTGTTATACTTGTTTAAGGTTTTGGATGAACCAAGGAATTATCTATGCTTAGAGTGGGGGTCTCATTGGGGGGTTCTGATCCCGGATCCCGCTTACTGTTTTGTCAGATTCCCGTATCCCGCTTATACTATGTACGTGAGCAATTCTTCATTTCCCGTTTTCACGGCACAATAATTTGACTTTCACGTGTCACGCTTACAAAAAATCGGCAATCCCGGGTCACGCTTGGACCCAATGAGACCCACTAGAGTGTAATATTTGGCATTTCCTATATTTATCTAGAGGACATATACTAGAAGAGCTTAATTTCTTTACGGCGGGAATACGTTATAAATTTGTTAAGATCTCTAACTTACGCCTTTTTAATTTCTTTCTATGGACTGGAAAATGTACGTAAAAGAACCTCGATTAAATTCAGTACAGTAACGACAAAAATGATAGCGAACACCGAAATAAATAAACAATGTTATACCTATAGGAAAGAATGCTCGCAGACTACTATTCTCAAGCTTAAAGTATTAAACATGCTAATACAAAATCGTGCCATTCTACACTCTGATATCGATTACTGTACTTCGTAGAAGATTTCTAACAGAAACGTCATGTTAGGTAAGGCAGCCACGATCTTGTGCTATGTCAAAAACAAACTGTTCGTAATTTCAGTTTAATGTAGAAAAACAACAAAAATATTTAAGAATTACTTCGAACTAAAAATATCACTAAAATAAACACACAAACAAAACAACAAACAACAACTCCCAGTTAAATACAACAAAATACTGACAAAGTGACTAAGCAACAACAGTAGAATTGTCAGAAAGTGTAGATATAACAAAAGAGAAAGATTTATTAACTTGTTATCTTTCATGTTTTTTCTTTCTATGTATAAAACACGAAAAATCTAGGAATAAGCATTATGCATTTTTGAAAAAAAATGAGGAATGTGATGATATAGAATACTAAATTACACATGTAAATAACAGAAACATCTACAAAGGTAATTGATTGATTGATGGATGTGTCTCGTGTTTCGAAGCGAGTACAAATAAATTTTATATTTTACTACAATGTAAGAATGTTGTTTGTATCATGCAATTTGATATTTACGCTTAAAGGTATATATTTTTTTATTCCCAAATGTTGAAATTGTATTTGAATGGAAAAAGCATGACTAAAGAGGACCCTATATTGTATTGTGACGTAAACAGTAATTTGAATATTACCGTTCGTTCACATGCAACGCTAGACTTGAAAAGCCGATCTTGTACATACGTATTAGTATAAGGATATGTATAAGATTGCCAATCAGATCACTATCCACCAGATACAAAGGGACGAGGGTCACTGTAACCTATAAGTCACCATACGGCTTTCAATAATGAGCAAATCAATACCATATACAATAAGTTTTATGTTTAAAAGTATCCTGTATTGGGACTTAAGGTGGTACATAACACTATACAGGGAGATAACTCTGTAAAAATCAGCTTAACGTTTTAATCACATTCTATTGTTGAGGAAAAATTAAGCTTCTCAATGATCAAAATTAGTGTTTGTCAAACTGCTATATATCAAATGAATTTTTTCCAATGAAGTGTGTGGTTCAAGTTTTTTGAAATTTTTATATTTTTGTCAAAGGGTCAAAGTAAATATTTTGTCAAAATTTTATGAAAATTAAACGAGCCAAATTAATTTTAGTCAAGGTGTTTGGTACCACCTTATATTAATTTATGATATTCCATTGTCAATCGTTTTTTAATAATGTGTAATGTTAATATTCTAAACAGCTGCAAATTTGGGACACGACAGGACAAGAAAGATTCAAAAGTCTTACAACAGGATATTTTCGTAATGCACATGCTGCTTTGGTTGTGTATGACGTCACCAACACAGAAACTCTTAAGAACTGCGTCAGATGGATGAATGACGTCAGCATGTATAGTGGTCAAGACATTCCAAAAATATTATTAGGTATTCTCTACCACGCCATTTTATTAGTCTGATGTTTTAAAATCATCAAATATACATGCACTTCTTCACTCATTCCCAAGACATTTGTCATTCAGATATCTCTGAGTTATAATGTATTTGAATTTTGCCATCCTTATTTTGCTTTAGGCTTCTAGGATCTTCTAGACTTGTATTTGATGAAAAACTGCGAAAATTGCAAAAAATGCCTTATTGTAAGATATCAACGTTTGATATTGAGGCCATCATGTTTTTGCTAAAAGATGTATAACGTCACAGTACCCAAATTGCACCCATTTAGCAAAAATAGCAGTGGAAATCTTACAAGTTTTCCTAGAGACTAAACAATTTGTAATTTTATGATGTGACATTATGTACGTCTTTCAATATAGCTAAATATATTCAAATATACACAAAACGTTCACAGTATATATCAACAGATGAAGTATTTACTGGAAAAAGTAAAATATATGTAAACGTCACCATGCGACGTCCACAAAATGTCAACTTTTAAAAATGAGCAATTAAAATATGTTACACTCGTCCATTTCTTAAAAAATTAATACTATCATGGACTATTGTCAAATTGCTATAAATATTTAGAGAAATAAAACAAAACATTAGTTACTCGATTTTTACAGATGTGAATTTGAGCATGGATGCAATTTGGGTACCCTCATTACAGAATAATGGATCATTTGGAGGTCGGTTCAAACCTATTTTTCTATGATTCAATATGGATTCAAAATTAAATTGGTGGAACTATGTAGTACATAAGGATACATCTACAAAATAAACACAGAATGGTTACTTTTGTCTCGATCATAAATAAACGTAGGTGAAAAAACTGTCAAAATAGGTGCAATTTGGGTACCCTCACGTTACAAGTGATGTGAGTTCGGAAAATATGTTTGTTAGTAAGCCTGTTGCTTATATTTATTTTTGTTAACATATTAATTGAGAATAAAGAGGTTTTTTGTTTTTGTTTAAATATTTCAATTATGGCATGTTTAGGAACGAAACAGTGACACCACAAATAAAGAAATTCATTTAAAATCATTATGTGTTAAGATCAAAAGTAGTTTGCTGCAGTACGTGTATGAAAAGCAGATTAAAACATTCGACTGTAATCCATGGCGAAATAAAAGGGATAAATGAAATACTACAACTCGCTAGATACTTTAATGTACGTGTCAGATGTTTCAATTATACAGCTTTATCTTTGCAGGTAATAAATGTGATAATTTGAGTGGTCGAACAGTAAGTTCGTCAGATGGCGAACACTTTGCAAGACAACATGATATGATATCCTTTTCAGAAACAAGCGCCAAAGATGGCCGAAATGTAGATGATGCTTTTTATAAATTGGCTCAGGTAAGTAATATAGATAACGTTGTTGACTGCAAATGTAGCGTACACATAAAGTAAGTACATTTCAAAGAGTTGACAAGTCTTTCCTGGACCACAATGATTTATTTTGTGTTACTGGGACGATAATGAGTTCACTTTTCTCATCAGGACGATCGATTAATTTACATGTCTTACTTGGACGACACTGAATTCACTTCGCCTTACTGGACGACGACGAGTTATGGGATATTGGTGAGTTCACATGTCCTATGCGGAGAGCACATAGGGTATTGTTTCACATGAAAGATAATTAGTTAACAAGTTTATCTGGTCCTTTAATATGTGGTATTCATCTCAATTAATTTAAGAAGTATACAAACAACATTCTTATTCAATTGATACTTTTTTCTTATGAGTCTCCTGTCTTCTCATCTTGTAATTGTTTTAGTTAAATGTCATTATATAATTCTTGTAGGTCTAATGCTTTCTTAGCTGTAAACAACCACCAATTATAATTCTGCTTTTTCTTTTATTCAGTTTGAATGTATTTTGTTTCATCTGGACTTTACTTTAAAACTCATGAATATCCAAAGTAATATACACCTAAAGGAATCCGCTATTATAGCCATTCCCTGTTACTCATTGATTGTGAATACAAATAGATAAGGAATAATATCTTTTGTCAGACTAATTGCTATATGTTTTATTTTAGGAATTATCCAGGACGTATTTTGATTCTATGGATTATAGATCTGACTCAATTAGGCTAGACTCTTTACCAGACAATAATGCATCTTGTTGGGATGTTGTGGATATTAACATTTAAAATGTTTAGCAACGTGATCGAATGGTTGCTCTTAAATATTCGAGGATATTATTATGTATACTTTTATTTCACTACTCTATTCCCTAGAGGCATTGGTATATTTTCAAATGTGTCGCAAGTTATAATAATCATAAGAATCTTTACTAATTTGCAATATTTATTTAGTTTATTTCATTTCTTTCTGTTACTCAAAATATAAAGAGCATTTTGTGTAAAGGACCAATGGAAATCATAGAGGTAAAATATATAGGACATTTTAACACCAAGCAAATCTGAAATTTAAATGAACAGCATTTACTGCATCAAATGGCACGAACTGTAAAAGTAAATTTTTAAGTGTATTTATCAAGAATTATTGAATATACCCCAAAAGCTACTCGAATATGATATGCAATGTTCTGTATTAAAACAAAAAAAACTATAATCACTTTTCAACCTGTACACAAACATATTTAGAACCCTCCAAAAAATTAGTTAAATGATGAAATGTTTTCACTTTAGTAGTTTATAGACAGCATATTATTTTTTTGGAGTACCTTGGAGGTGAAATTTAAAAACAATTTTCCCCTATATTATTTTCATTCTGTTGACATATCTTAATTTTCTGTTCCTCGAACCTCTTATGCATGCGTTGTTGTGGTCATTTTTCTTGATGAGTAAGATGTTGTGAGTCTTGCAACTTATTTTTGTTAGAACAGTTCAGTTACCAAGGCTTTAATTTTCATTTTTTAGTTTCAGATTTTTAGTTTTTGATTGTGTTTTCCCCGATAACAACCAATACTTCGTCTGTGGTACGAAAATGCTTTTTAAGAAGATTTTTGAAGAATGTGACTTCGAATTTTTCTCTCTGCACAATTTTCTCACTTGTTGGGAGATCGTTAATGTTTTTTATCTGGCTTATATTATATAAATTGGTTTCACAAACTAAAATTAAATCTTGAAATCTTTCTTGATTAATTATTGTATTCCTATGTTCCTACTTTCTCGAGAGATAATCTGCAAAGCAGTTTTTTTTTAACAATGATGCATTATTTAAAATAAATCTTTCTGATTTTTAGCTCACCTGGCCTAAAAGGCAAAGTGAGATTTTCTCATCACTTGGTGTCCGTCGTCTGTCGTCGTCTGTTAACTTTTACAAAAATCTTCTCTTAAACTACTGGGCCAAATTTAACCAAACTATGCCACAATCATCATTGGGGTATCTAGTTTTAAAAATGTGTCCGATGATCCCGCTTGCCAACCAAGATGGCCGACATGGCTAAAAATAGAACATAGGGGTAAAATGCAAGTTTTGCATATTATTTTGAAAACCGCTTTAAATAAAGAAAATCTAACAAGGGCAAAATTGTTCAGAATGTTGAGCTCTATCCATTGTTCTTTTAAAGTCAAAACTGTCAGACGACTTCTTATCGGAGTTATTGCCCTTAAAATATGATGAATTTTACCATTTTTAAAAATGTTTGCCTATTATTTTTATAGACAGAAACTATAAAAGCAAAAATGATAAGCAAGACAAGATCTACAAATAAGTCAACAAGGCCGAAATCTTCAGTCGACTCCTTATTAGAGTTGTTACCCTATAATGATGATTTTTACCATTTTATTTGCGTTTTTGCCTCACATCTTAAAAACTATATTAGATAGATAGAAACTTTACATAGCAAAAATGATCAGCAAGACCAGATCTACAAATAACTCAACATGATCGAAATTGTTAGTTGACTCCTTATTGAAATTATTGCCCTTTAATGACGATTTTCCCATCCTTGCCTAATATCTTGAAAACTGTAATAGATAGGTAGACACTTTGAAAAGAACTTATTATCAACAAGACAAGATCTACAAATAAGCCATAATCAGTCGACTCGTTTTTGGAGTTATTGCACTTCAATGATAATTTTTAACATTTTTTTGCATTTTTTGCCCATTATCTTGAAAACTATAATAGAAACATAGAAACTTTAAAAAGGAATAATTATCAGCAGGATAAGATCTACAAGTATGTTGTCAAAGAGGGACGAAAGATACCAGAGGGACAGTCAAACTCATAGATCGAAAACAAACTAACAACGCCATGGCCAAAAATAAAAAGACAAACAGACAAATAATAGTACAGATGACACAACATAGAAAACTAAAGACTAAGCAACACGAACCCCACCAAAAACTGGGGGTGATGATCTCAGGTGCTCCGGAAGGGTAAGCAGATCCTGCTCCACATGTGGCACCCGTATTGCTTATGTTATTACAAATCCGGTAAATAGTCTAATTCGGTAGGTCACATTCGTGAAAAGGGAAGGTTATTGTAGTTACGACATAAGGAACATATCCGATATCATCTGTGAAACGGTTATTCCATAACGGTCAACCAACTCGTGATGGCGTCCGTAACATTGTCAACATGACTGAAATTATTAGTTAACTCTTTATAGAGTTATTCCCCCTATTTCTACTAAAAAGTGGCCATTGTTATAGGTGCAGGTGAGCGACACATGCTCTTTATAGCCTCTAGTTTTGTGTTGCAGTCAACTCAATTGTTTCATTTCTTTATGACCAAGCTGATATACCCATTGTTACTATCTTGGCTGATAAATACAAATACGAAGGCACACACCAACCAGAGGAGCATACTAATAACGTTTATACAGGTTGAATATATTATGAGATCATTTTCCTATAAACACATTTGTCCAATACATATTTTGATATTCAACAAATAAAAACTATCTAGGTTGATAGTTATGACTACGAAGACCATGTTTAGAACGTTCTTATGTTGAGCTGTTACACCACTGTCCCAGGTTTTATCCAATTAAAAGTATCTGTATCTCCTGAAGAAAAAAACACCTTTATTTCACGAGTTACAAAATAAAACATGTATTCTAACAGTTGATATAATAATATTAATTTTACTTCTTAGTCAGCTTAGATGTCGTGGCTATTTATTTAAATGATTGTTTGTGGACCTGGTTAATAGGGGTCATTTATTACCCTGATATAAATGGAGGGAATTTTCGAAGACATAATTATGAAACACATATGAATCTACTTTCTTAATTTTTTCTCCTGTAAGATTGCATACATTTTTTTACAATTATGCAAATGGGGTTCTTTTACATTCAAGTTCATTCATGCTGTGTGATAGGCAAAACTATGTAGTGGACACAATCTTGCTTAGTTAAAGCTTTAACTATGCAGAAAAAATATTAGACATGACTCAAAATATAACAGCACGAACAAATCTACCAATGGAAATTACTTGATAAAAAAGAGAAAAATTTGAAACTTAGTCTATACAAATAGACAACAGCATAATTAAAGAAAATCAAAGACTTTCTTTACACCACAAGATTTGGAAGTGTTATATAATTGGTATGTTTAGATAGACTTTATTTATCTAATAAGTTATTTGTTTGCCTTTAGTAACATATATTAACAAACCTTACTTGTGAAGCGGGGACTGCCTACCCTTTACAAAGCATCATAGCTTCATCCGCTTTTAGGTAGGGAGTGCTGTTGCTCAATCTTTAGTGTAGTATTTCTGTGTAGTATTTTGTGGACTGTTGTTTGTTTTTCGTCGTTTTTTCTTTTGGCCATGGTGTTGTCTGTTTTCTTCAACTTGTGATTATCGTCTTTAATGTAAGTAGTAAATTCCATGATGATAAGTAAATAACAAAGTTATTACAATCATTTTAAGATCTTTCAAAGCAGTTTAAATTCAGGCGGTTAGTTCACATTATATGGGAAGTAATTGTAATGTTAACATTTAACATATGAAAAAAACCCGATTATTTAACCCTGCATGATTAGTTCGTCTTTTAATAAGTCATTATGATTTAAAAACGAAACTAACAAAATGGGGGATTCATACGATTATTTGTTCAAAATAATTTTAGTTGGAGACGCTAACGTCGGGAAAACCAGCTTTGTTAGACGGTTCACTACAGGACATTTTCAGCGAGATTGCAAGGCGACCATTGGTGTAGATTTCACTGTACAAACGTTGCAACTTGATGGTAAAATAGTAAAGGTACAAATTCTAAAGTTGGTAATATTTAACATGTTTAATTTAAGAGCTAGTTTGTCTCAATTATTATGATATGATTATAATTTGAGGTGAAATTCCCACCGTCACTTGGGTTAGTCCTAAGTAGCTGTTTGGATGTTTTGGGTGGTTTAGTTGTTGATATTGTGGGATCTAGGGCGTCACATTATTTCGTGGCCATTTAATACTTTGGGTACGCGGTATGTGTTGTTGTTTTGACTGTCATATTAATCGACAATTTAAGATCAACCTTGGTAAAAGCCCCAAAAGATGTGAATAAATTAAACATTGACAGTCTCTATATCTACTATTAACACCAAATTCTCCAAAAAACAAACAAAACAATATAAAGACATGCGAAAGGAGAACAATTAAGAAGGTCCTTTACATGCGACGGTATGTGAATTTATGGCATGGATAAACTACATTTCTTTATCTCAACCCTTCGCATTCTTTGTTTGATAAATATGTTTTGATCTAATGTTTTGTTTTATTTAGTTACCAAAAGGACTCTATAACTACACAGTGTAAAATAAATTACTTGCATACACAGTGATAACAGATATTAAACCTATATAGTATGAATAGACTATGCATTGTTATGCTCAGTAAACCCTTTGTCTTTTTTATTTTATATTTAAATTGCATGTATCTTTCACAAGAATCTGTTAGTTTGATTGGCTAAAAACAATCGCGCGTCATTCAAAAATTAACCTTCATATTAAAATGAAATCGGTTACATTCGTGATGACACGTGCTTCCACAATAAAAGAAAAACTTGATAATTTTTTTTTCATGGTCTTATTAGCATACAAATGTAATTATAAGAAATGAATGCTCCTTTTTGTAATTTTATTGGGGTGTAAAAGTGTTGATCGTGCACACAATTTTAGAAAATTTTATCGGTTGTGGTTCGTAGAAGATATCAAACAGCTACATCCTTAATTAACATTTTTGATATGTCAAAAAAAACCAAAAGTAACATTTAAGTACTGTTTCAAACTGTAAATGAGCACACTCACGAAAACAAAACAACAACAAAAGACTGAAAAAGTGATTGAACAACAACGGTATAATCGGTAAGTCGATAATGGAAAACAAATTAGTTCCTTTCATGATTTTTCTTTCTATATAGAAAGCACGAAACCTTTACGATTCAGAATCATTTATGGTTTTCTGGGGGAAAAAATGAATATGATAATTGAAACAGATTTGATGGATACCTAAGTCCAGTTTTACATGCATCAGGACGATATCATATTATTTTATTTATTGATGTGATTTTGACAATTTATACAAAATCAAATAAAAAAATACCATCACATTTTGCAAACTTTTTCAAAAACTAACCATTCAATTCGTATATTTACAGAAATCTTCTTAATTCAATATATTAATACATAGATAGAGCAAAAATTGGGTGGTCTCAACATACAAATTTACGTACAGAAATCCGGCTGATGTTCAAACCCTTTCCCCATATACTGATTTTTGCTTCCCATACATATATTTTACAGGAAAGTCATAACCAATTATATATTTCCCAGTTATTAGAAATACAATCTGTGACGTTGACCACATGTGATCATTCACATTAATAGATAAAATGATCAGTGCACAGTTTTTATAGGCATCTATATAGAAGATGAACATAGCGACATTGTTTGCCAGCATTTTAAACAACTTGATCATTCAATTCTTTCTATGAATGCCCTAAGGCAAAGTTGACCTTAGATGGATTTGGCTATTTTTTTAGCTCCTTTTTGGTCATATAGCTCTTCAACTGTTTCGGCTCTTATACATTCTTGGCTTTCAAATATTCGGCTTTTAGCGTTCCTGATGAAGGTAAATCCAGAAAAGCGCTTCGAACGCATGAAATTTATAACTTATTGTTTTCATTTTCTATGCAAGTTCGCATCATCGAAAAAATATACCAAAGGATTAACAATCCTCATCTTGCAACATCTCTCCGTAGACAAAAGAAAGACTACTGGATTCGAGAATTGGGAACTGCGACACCATATGGTTGCAATGACAAAATTGATGGTATAAGTATTCTATCTAGTCCTTCCTGTAACTCGGTGAATGTGATAAACATTTTCAACTCTACTCTTTGACGTGGACGCAGTCATGGTCATCATAATTATACATCACGTACTCTCCATGGTGTCTCTATCAATGACTTGCAGCCATTTATACAAAATCCGTTGGTCTCGATGCCATCAACTTGGGCAATGTCCTTCATCATAAATCAGTTCACTCGAAAATACATCCCTATTTTAAAGACCAGTCTGTATCTATCATTTCTTATACCGATACATAACCAATTGCAACTAAAATTTTCTATTACAAACACGTGTTGCAGGATCTCAATATTGACGAGTTCAAGTCTAAACCTCCTGATTGCAGCTGTGCTAGTTTCCCATTCATATTTAATCCGACTCGCCACGTTATTACTGGTGACCTAAACATTGTCAATAACACTTCTCTTCGAAATGTGTTATCAAAAGGCTCGAAATATCGTGAGCCTAAATCTATCAATTGGAAACACAACTTCAAAATACAGAATATGGGTAAAACGCGAGAAAGAAGATGTAAATACTCTTTCCGAATGGATCAAGACTGTGAGGTCGTTGATACAATTCAGAATTAAAAAATTCAATTGGTCTATGAATACACATGCTACATCAATCTTTAAAGACCGTAATATTGCAAAACACCTGTCCTACCTCCAGGACAAATATGTTGTTGTCCCCGCAGATAAAGCCCCAAACAAAATCTTTTTTGTGTGTAAATCACATTACATAAATTGCTTGTTAAATGCATTAGTTATTTACAACTCACTTGGAAACATATACCCACACGACACTTACCAAGGAGGAAATCCTGGATAATCATAGGTCTGTTCTTTGTTCCTTTGAAATATCAAACTGGATTTTCCTTCACTGTATTGATACCTAAATTTCATAAGTGTCCTTAAAAACAATGATACATTCCTGAGCATCCAAGTGCTCCACGAAACCACTTTCAAATTATTAACATCAATTTTATCAGCAATCAAAGCTGAGCTTCAAAGTTATTGTGAAACTACCCATTCTAGAGGCGGCGTGAATCAGATTTGGATACTAAAAAACAGCAAACAACCGGCATTTCCAGTGGAACCATCTGTGCTCCTATTCTTGCCGATTTGTTCCTTTATTCATATGAGGCTGATTTCATACAAGAGCTTCTTAGGGAGAAAGAAAAGAAGTTAGCATTACTAGTATCCTTTAACTTTACTTTCCGCTATATAGATGATTAAATAATTCAAAGTTTGGTGACTATGTTGAACGCATCTATCCCATCGAACTTGAGATAAAGGATACAGATACAGTTTAGTCTGCCTCATTTCTTGACTTACATTTAGAAATTCACAATGAGGGTCGGTTGACGACAAAACTATACAACAAAAGAGATGAACCCAGCTTCCAAATTGTGAACTTTCCATCTCTATGTAGCAACATTCCAGCAGCGCCTGCATATCTCCCAGTCGATACGATATTCCAGGGCTGGTATTTCCTATCATGATTTCCTTGATAGAGCGTTGCAGCTCACAAAAAAACTATTAAACCAAGAGTGGTGAAGTTGAAATCATCCCATCGTAAATTTTACGGACGCTATCACGAGATGGTTGACCGTTATGGAATATCTGTTTCACAGATGACAACGGGTATGTTCCGGTTGTCGTAACCACAATCCTGTCCTCTTTTCCCCAAATGTGACCTACCGAATTAAACTTTTATCACCGGATTTGTACTAACATGAGCAACACGACGGGTGCCACATGTGGAGCAGGATCTGCTTCCCTTCCGGATCACCTGAGATCACCCCCGGTTTTTGGTGGGGTTCGTGTTACTCAGTCGTTGGTTTTCTATGTTGTGTTTGGTGTACTGTTGTTTGTCTGTTGGTCCTTTTCTTTTTTTGCCATGTCGTTATCAGTTTATTTTCAACTTTCGAGTTTGAATGTCCCTTTGGTATGTTTCGCCTCTCTTTTATGACCCGTTGACTTATAAATTTCTGCCCAATTGTTATATAACGTCCGTTATATTGCACATAATTGATATGTTTGACATCTCAAACACGTGACCCACAGCGTCACGTCTGTTATATAATTAGAGACCCTACGCTCCCGTGAGAAATAGCTCGAAATCCGTATGAATTCATATAAGAACAATTTCGTTTTTTTAAGTGAATTGTATTATTTCGTTCATATATCATGTAACACTTGATAAGCTGACCATGTATATAAGAGTTAGAAGATACGGAATGATACCCAATTAGAAAACAATAGATCAGAGACCAAAAGGACGCGAATGTTAACAACTCTCGGTCACCGAATGGCCTTCAACAATGAGCATAACCCATCCCGTATAGAAATATTGAGAACTTATCCTGTACTGCTAATGGTTTCTGGAACGTGACTTATGAGATTACTCTATAAATCATTTCCATAAATTTGTAATGTTTTTTTTTCTTAACAGCTACAAATTTGGGATACGACAGGACAAGAGAGATTCAGAAGTCTTATAAAAGGATATTACCGTAATGCACATGCCGTTTTAGTTATGTATGACATCACTGACACTGAATCTCTCAAAAGTTGCGTTAGATGGATGAACGACGTCAGAATAAATAGTGGTGAAGACATTCCACAAATATTATTAGGTATTCTCTACGACACTACTTTATTAGTTTATCTTGTAAACACCTAATACAAGGAATCATGTGTGATTAGGCTACTGTTTGTGTTCTCGATTTTGAAAATTATCAAACATATATGAAATTCTTCAGACGTTTTCAAGACATTTTTTAGTCAGCTACAAGTTACATTGTATTTGAATTATGTCATCAATATTGGATTTAGGCATTTAAAACTACATTTCAGGAAAGATTGCAAAAATGCCGAAATTGTCTAATTGTTAGATATTGCCGTTTGATATAAAAAAAAATGACGAATATCCTTACTCAAACAATTATCAGCCTATCCTACATGTATTTTGTCAACAGAGTGTCTTATACAAGTGATTCGAGTTTGGAAATATGTGTTTTTAACGCATGATTTTACCCATCTGCTCTAAATGCATAAGGCTTATCGAATTTATTTATCGATAAAAGTAATATTGTATTTTACTGCAGAATTATTATACTGAGTGAGAATAATTCATGGCGACCTAAAAGGGATAAATGGTATACTTCAACTCACTATATACTTTAATTTACTTCAAACAGTTCATCTATTCTAGATTGATTTCTTTTTAAAAATTATACAGCTTTATATTTGCAGGTAATAAATGTGATAAATTGAGTAGTCGAACAGTAAGTTCGTCAGATGGCGAACGCTTTGCAAGGCAACATAATATGATGTCCTTTTTAGAAACAAGCGCAAAAGATGGCCGAAATGTAGATGATGCTTTTTATAAATTGGCTCAGGTAAGTTACGATAAACGATGTTGACCATACATGTTGTCAATTGATCGATAGGTTCTTAACCCAATATACATACTGACAGTAGATATATTCCAAATGTTGTTTTTTTTACAAAAAAAAACGCTTGTGTTTATCTTTGAAACAAAGAATAAGTTATTTCTGGCCAAAGTAAAGAAATGCCGAAAACTCGGAAATGTTGAATACATCTTTACATATCGTGAATATCTAAGCATGATAAAAGTAGGAATCTGCTATTGTAGCCGCGCCCAGTTCACCTATTTTTGAAACTAATTGCTATATAAAGGCAACAGTAGTATACCGCTGTTAAATAGTCATAAATCGATTTAAATGAAACAAATCCGGGTCACAAACCAAAACCGGGGGAAACACATCAACTATAAGAGGAAAACAACGGAACAACATAAACACTGAACTACTACAAAAACAAACGCCAACATACATAGAAACGGACTATTTGATAACAACTGCCACATTCCTGACTTGGTACAGGACATTTTAAGTGTTGTGTTTCTGTTGTGTCGTTGTTCTCTTATATTTGATGTGCTTCCCTCAGTTTTAGTTTGTAACCCGGATTTGTTTTTTTCTCAATCGATTTATGAATTTCGAATAGCGGTATACTACTGTTGCCTTTATTTAAGACAAAATGGTGGGTTGAACCTGGTTTTATGACTAGCCAAACCTCCCGCTTTTATGGCAATGTTAAAAATACCGCTAAAATGACAACATTACGTGACAGGAATACATTACAACTAAACGCAAGAACACTCAGGACAGAGACATACATAAATAAATAATATAATAGTACATTACAACATGTAAACCACAGAATAACAACGGACTCCTCCCATTTACACCACAATAGAATTATGAACTGTGCGTCACACGAATATATCAACGCCACAAAAAGTGACGTCACAGGTAAATTTCTAAAAATAAAATATAAAATTGGGATTGAGTTTGTAATGGTGTTATTTTATGTATTTTCTAACCATTACAAGAATATTTATATAGAATTGTGTTAGTAATTTGTATTTTCTAACCATGTCGGTTTTTCTTCTAAATCAAAACTGTAAAAACAAATAAAGCCTGTGCATATAGTAGCTTTAAACTAAAAATCATATAAATGAAGTAGCTGATTAATTATCTTAACTTTTACATACATGTAGAATAAAATAGAATTCAAACCACAAACGATAATGTCTTATTTTAGGAACTATACAGGACACATTCTGAACCTATGGATTATCGTTCTGACTCTATAAAGCTAGACTTTCTGCCAGACAACACTGCATCTTGGTGGGGATGTTGCGGATATTAACATTCAAAATATTTAAAAAGTTATTAAAAATTAGAGGAAAAATTTATGTATGACGTTTCTTTTACAATTCTGTTCGTATGAGGCATTGTTATATTTTAAAGGTGTGTAGCAAGTTATAGTAATTACAATTATCTTTTCCATTGTTCAATACTTATTCAGTTTATTTATTTTCCTCCGTTTCTCAAAAAGTAAAAAGAACATTATGTGTTAAGGTGTAAGCCTTGGAGGTAAAATATATAGATAATTTCATCACGAAGCCAAATCTGAAATTGATGGTAGTACAATACGAAAATTTGGGGTTCTTGAATTTTCCTAATTATAACTTTATCATTTAAAAACATATTAGAACAAATGATTACCATATTAGAGAAAATAGCATAAAAATTAGAGAAGGAGAGATAGCACTTTCAAAGGAGTTGGTAAAATTGCTATTACCTGCATCTTTCTTAACGACCATATTTGGAAGTAGATTGAAAAGAATAGACAATTCTTGTTCTAAAATTAACATATAAGCTGAAGAGATGATAAATGTTTGTTTATTCATCACAAGGAACATAAAAATGCTCTTTTTTCCTATATACTGTTTTGTTTTTTTTTTGTTTTTTTTTGTGTTTTTTTTTTTGTGATCTTATGTGTTGTTGTATTACTTTTTCTTGATGGTTCAGATGTTGTAAGTCGTGCAACTTAACTTTTTTAAACACATTTTTTAATATTTTTTTATTGCAGATTTTGAGTTTTTATCATCCTAACCACTCCTTTTTCTGTTGCTAGAAAATATTTTTAAGGAGATATTTTGAAGAGTGTGGCTATTTAAACTAATTTCTCATACGTAGGGAAATCGTTGATGTTTTTCTTTTGATTATCTCCATCAGTTTTCATAAACTAATAAAAAAAATCTACATATCTTTCTTAATCATTTATTTTGTTTCTAAGTTCCTGTTTTCTTATAAGGTCGTTATTTGTGGTGTCTTCTTACTCTTTAGTTCAAAGTTTCCCTTAAAGATGTGTACTGCTAGTAGTACTTTTCCCGATTCTCACCTTTTACTCGCTTAAAATTCCTTGTACGTTGCGCACGGTATTGGTGTCTCTTTGGAAAAATGCGATAGATAGCGGGTTATTCCAACTCAAGCTCTTTTCCTTTACAATAAATATCCATGTTCTGCATATCATTCGAAAGGAAATAAACCAAAGAAATCAATAACATAGATGATTTTGTGCTTTGTATATTATGTAAAGAAAAACTTTGCTCATTTCGATGCCTATAACGTCATTTTAAGGGTGTCCCGCTGTTACAATTTTGTTTTATGCACGTCATTGAAATCCCAGTGCGGATTAATTAGTAGGTTAAATGTGATGAAATTTTACAACTGCATTGTATACCTTTAACGAAAAAGGGCATCATAGACAATGTTAACTGTGAGTGAAAGAAGATCTCAGAAGCGTTTAGATTAGGATGAGAAAAAATGTCCCACTGTGCTGCTCAACCCTTATAAAAACTTTCTGCCTTTTTTATTATAAGATATAATAGATGTAAGTGGCTCTTAATGATATCAGAAAAATTATACATGTCCTAAAGAAGCTATCTGAAGTCATCATTATGTAACTGCGGTCTTACTTTCATAACATCGTCAGTTTTCCCGTGTCTAATAAAATGTCCCGATGGACAAAATAACATAAAGAATAATTCGGAGGCTGTTTATTAAACGAAATTCTACTTGATCTCCAATTTTTAACACCTTTTAACTGATATGAATGGAAAATACATTTAATTTCCTCTAAAATGATATGATATGTACTTTTGTTTGAGCTGCAGGTAGAAAATACGAAACGATCTAAGATGTCCAATGACATGTCCCCATAACTGTAACTTGACGTTCACGTTATGATAACGCTAAACTGTACATGACTTTTCTTGCATATTTGGCATAAAATAATTTCATGAAATGGTTTGATCTAAATAAAATAAGGTTCTCGTTTAATATGCATTAAAATATAGATCTGCATTGTATCAATGATTTAAGATGTCTAAATATTTAACTCGGATCCTTCATAAAGACAAGGCTCCGGGGCCAGAAAAGTGAGACAAGATTACATATGATCACAGTCTCACTTTTAGAAAAGCAACATACAGTGAAAATGAAAATGCGATCAAAAGTGAGCTCATCTTATCTATCCCCCTTAGCCATATTATAAACGATTCAAAATCAAGCTATACACCCTATCCTTAATTTCCAACGTTTTTATTAAAAGAATCGAAACTATATACATGTGAATAAAAAATTTCACAAAAAGTCTAACGAGAAAAGTACTCGTTAGTCATGAACATTTCGGTATAACGTGCAATCATTTTTTGTCGCAGCGACTCATTTAACAAAAAATCTTACGAGAGAAATACTTGTGTATGTCATGAACATTTCAGTAAAGCTTACAATCATGTTTTTGTGTACTGTGGATAGAACAATCTCTAGTCATCTACCTAGCAGCATGTGTATGAAAAAGAAGATTGATACTTCTAGAAGTAATGTGAGGCAGAATGGAGTTTATTTACTCGGATCTCCAACAGAATTGCCTGCTACATAGGCATGCGATGCGACGATCGACTATTAAAATTGTAAATGGAACTTTTCTTTTCCATTAATTTGAAGAGAAAGAGATAGAGAAAAAATCAAATGCACTCAGTGTTAGGGTTATAGTTGTCCAACAAATATGATGGATTGCACACAAACATGTAGCAGGTTCCACTGTATATATTTACAGACACTCCAAACCCTTTCGAAAAAAAACCCCATGCACTGGACCCCACATCTTCCAAAATTTCTTTCTTTCCATATTTTTTGAAGGCGTATATTTTGCGGGAAGTTTAATATTCTTTGCATTATAATAACCAATTTATAAAAAAAGGCAGAGAGAATTTCAAATACTAATAAATATACTACATTGAATACGCTGTATGTATACATTGAAAGCTGTCTTATGAGACAACTTTAGGGAGAGGAAAGTGGTTTCATATGACAGGTGGTCTTTTAATACATGTTCATTCTATATGAAATGAAATGCAGAGGGACCTACAATTAATGGTCTTATAACACAGGTTTTTGCTTAATACAGGTGGTTTCTTAAGCAGGTTTATCTGTATATATATATCAAATTGACATCATATTTTCCTCTTTTTTTATCACTAAATCAACCTGAAACAGCCTGCTGTGTGGATCGGTGGTTCTCTTAAAGCACCCCGGCTTTCTCAACCAATAAAAACTGACCGCCACGAAATAGCCAATAGTGTCGAATGTGGCGTTAAACACCAAAAAATCAATCGACCAATCTGCTGTGTGCAAATGTTCAATTTTTGTGTATAGTAGATCTACCTTTTTTTATCTTCGCAGAACGCCAGAAAACATGGCCTGAATATTGCTTTTTTTATACTTTTAAAAACAAAATCAAAAACATTGAAACCGAAAACCCGAAAATAACCCGTTTGGAAACGGTCTAAAAATGTCAAAGAAAATTTAGTGTAAACGGATACTCAGTTATATGTTGAAATTGGGAGCGCTAAATCAAAAACAATTTATAGTATAAAAAGTACATAGTACTTCGTTTCAGAAAACATTGATCCATGTATATGTACTAAAGTAGTAACTAAAAAATACATATCTTGTCACATAAAAATAATCATATGTTTAAAAATCGGATTTCGGCCTGCTGTTAATCAAATAGTGGTTAAGGTAGATTTGAGTATATATAAAAAGGGGCAAGGTTTTCCATACATTGCCAAAATGCTATAATTGCAGAATAAAAAAGTATGAATCGCTGACCTTTTTTGAAGCTTTAGTTTGTGAATTATATCAGATGAAAAGATAGCTCGTAAAATGTGTTTTCCGAAAGCAAAAAAAAAAAAAACCAAACGGAATCTCTGTTCTCGTTTTCTTAATAAATCACCAGAGACCAGATAACATAGAAGTTAACAACTATTATAGGTCACCGTACGGCCTTCAACAATGAGCAAAACCCATAACTCATAGTCAGTTATAAAAGATCCCGAAATGACAAATGTAAAACAATTCAAAGGAGAAAACTTACGGCTTGATTTATGCACGAACCTGTGTAAATTTTTTCATAAAATATTATTTTTTGAATTATTTGCCTGATAACACTATCCTGATTAAAAAAATTGTAATCAATGAAAACATTTTATTTAATAAAAAATAATTTAGACCCCGACCAACCTTAAAATATTGAAAGTTGACAATGGCAGCTTAGAACACGTATTTCTTACTCAAACTTGTTGCATATTTTATCAAGTATTTCGTTAGAGATTTATAAAAAAAAAATTGTAATTGATGTCAAGATTGTGAACTAATACGTAACATTACCTGATAGATTATGTAATAGGAATTACAATACTAGTATAAGCCACTTTTTATTATAAATTAATAAAACGGACCTCTTATGAATAAAGTGTTGATAAAATGAGATTATGAAAAGAAAAATATCTAGCGATCGTCAATCAACCTTCACATGATCCAATTAAGAACCATTTGAATGTTAACATAAATTGAAAAAAAGGGGCGACAAATTACCAAATTACAGCAAACAAGTAGAAACGTATAATAGAAGAAAAGAGACAGAAACCAGGAACGAAATATTAACAAGTTCACTAGCCAAGATTGGAGACGTCTTCTGGCAAAGAGAACATTGCTAAATTTTAAGAAAAAGAAAAAAAAGATAAAACACAAAAAGTAAAAGAAAATTAAGAAAATAAGACATCGAAGGTTATTAGCAAAGACATTCAATGTGATATGTTGGAACCACGTTCGTCCTAAGAGTATAGAGGTAGCCTCAGATTTTTCCTGCATTTGTTTCACTCATAGTATCAAACTCAGTTTTAAAGTTTCAAAACATTTTGAATTTTGAAAATGAAAAACGCTAAATAATATACAAAACAGATTTTAAATCATGTTACAAGACATCAAATTGTTATTCCGTGCTAAACATTACTGTTGGAGACAATTTTTACACAAAATTAAAAATGTTGCATGTGTTTCAAATAATGTTCTAATTCTATGAAAATTTGAATATCAAAGTTTGCATTTATTAATGCCAACCCCGGCTTGAAAAAATGAAAATATATAGTGAAGCAACTTCG